AATAAATTTTTATGTAAACAGGTATAAAAATCGTTTTGGTATAGACGTTGGTAAAACTAATATCTTAATCCATGCACAACCATTAATAGGCAGTAAATACATTTTTGCAGCACAAGGAAAACTGTCTGTAGAGAAACAATGGCAGGAAATGCCAACGTTTTATGCTTATCAAACTATAGTTAAAGATATTTCTACATATTGTGTAAATCCCTTGTTATATAAAACTATTGATGAAATATTTGTACCAGGAAGTAATTGCTTCATGTTAGGTCATCCGCATTATGGTGCCATGGGAGAGGTATTTAATTATATTTGCTCTAGTATATTTAATAATAGTTTATATTTTCTTGAAACTAATATGATAAGTGTTTTTAATATTATTTATATACCTTAGCAGTATTTAAATATTTAAATATTTATGAAATAGGTAATTGGGCCAAAGATCAATATGAACTCTGGCAGAATAAAAATATATGTGAAAGTTGTAACTGAACCAGATCTAGCTGTGGTAAAACAAGCATATACAGAATCAAAAATACAATATATTTATGGAAGCACAGCTGCTCAGAGACTAGGAATAAGTAGTCATCTTTTAAGTAGAATTACTGGTACAATTTATATTATGCAGAATAATACAAACGAAATTATTAACGTCGGATTAAATCTGAAGTTTAATAAAAAGAATGAGGAAGTAAGCAATTTTTTGGAACATACATAATACATTTTAAATGATCATAAATTATTTTTCGAAAGTATCGCGTAATTAATCTATAATATAATTTTTAAATATTAAAATATAACAGATACCAGGCTATACCAAAAAAGAAAATGGTCAGTGGTTGTATAGTATAAAAGCTGTTGATCTTATACGTGATTATATGGCAAAGTGTCCCGGTTTATTTGAACGATTGGCACAAAATATTACAAATGATGTTTTTAATGAAGACGAACTATTTGATAAGTCGTACGTTATACACATTTTATTATTTAATATCAAATAATAGATTAATATTATCATATATTAAAAGATATTCTGTTTTTTTTTTTTTTTTTTTGTATTTTTTATTTATTTATTTTTTTTTTATAGATCAAATGAATTAAATAGTATTATAGCTTGGTTAAAAGAGCAACATTTCCGAGGAGTAGAGAGTCGTCCCTGTGGAGCAAATATACTCGAAGCAGATATAGTACAAAAAATAGAACAAGAAGTGGACAAATATTATGAAATGTATAATGATTCAAACAAAGCAGTCGTAATACAAGTGAAGCCACAATTACTTTTTAAACCTGAATTATATTCACGTCAGCTTCCACCCGATCCAAAATCTCATACAAGATTATTAGATAGAATTGTTTGTATCAGAGGAAGCTTTACTGTACCAATCGGTTATAAAGGAACTATTATAGGAATTCAGAAAACGAAGGCAATTATAGATAGTATTTATGATGTTTTATTTGATAAATCATTTTTAGGTAACTATTGTCTTTACTAATTTTCACTTGAAGATATATATATATATATATATATATATATATATATATATATATATATTTATAATTAATGTTTTATTTCATTATTTTAATTAACTTTATAAGGTGGATTAACATTCAATGGATGTTCCGAACATCGTGGTTATAAGTTATCAATCACTGACTTTATTAATATTAGTCATGGTGAACGAGTAGAACGTGGAAAATCAGGAATAGAGAATACATCCATTGAAACAACAGATTCTTGGAGACGATATCAAAATGCAAAAAATCAAGTACATAGTAGTGTTAAACCCATAACACAACATAAACCTTCCTATGAATTGCAACATGCTTCAAAACAATTATCCTCTGAATTTCAACAATTATGGAATGAATTGCATAAAATAGAGGTCAGTTTAATGATCTCTATAAATATTTGAGACATTTATAAATTTTATATATTCTTTTTTATATATCTGATAGGATTCAAGCGGATCTTCGAAAACTTCCAATACGAGTATCGTAGAATCTAATGAAATCAATAAACAAAAAAGTAAACAAATAGTAAGTATTGTATTTTGGCAAAAAAATCTAACGGTAGTTACGTTCTTGATAAATATGTACTTGTATTTGTATAATTTCCTATCTTCTTTTACATGTAAAATGATAATAATTTGCATCAGTGAAACATTAAATTATTTGATGCATTGTTATCAATATCATGTTATTCCTATCATTTTGTGCTGCAGGCATATATATATATTTATTTTCTATTATAGAGTCTTTTGTATTATTCTATTTTTTTAGACGGTTATATTTTTTTAACGGTTTATTATTTTAAAAACAAAATAATTAAAAATATTAGCTCAGTTTTTCATAATAATACTTCTAAACTTCAGTCACAAGATCCCAGTGCTTTCTTGAAAGAAGTGCTGAAAATTTCTGATGACAACACGCTGATAAATTTGCCAACTAAATCAAGTGGTACTTCCGCGAATAAAAATCAATCCCAAATCCATAAATCATCGGATGCCCCACCATTAGTTCAAAAATTATTTGATGTAAGCATATTATTCTTATGCTTGAAGCACAGTTTCCACCAAATTTTTATATGTTTGTCCATGTTTAAAAATATACATGCAAAAATATTGATACTGCTTATCCTTATTTACAGTATGCTAGACAAAAGAGAAACGAGATAAAAGATGACAAGAATTCTATTTGGTATTGTTCACACTTATTAAATCATTATCAAATACTTGGTATGGGTTTACCAAGATATGATTATTTTTTAAATGAACAAACGAACCTGATACAAGCTCAAATTCTTTTACCAGACGCGAAAGTATATTTAGGTGATCCCTGTTTGACTCATGCACAAGCAGCAGAAAGTGCAGCAAGAAAAGTATATGAGGTAAAATGTATGCGACATAACAAATACAATGATTTCTTCGCACGATTTTATTTATGATATTTATTATTGTTAGGAATTAAATTTAGAAAAGGTACAGAAACCTGATATGAAACTTTTATTAAAACCTCCGTCGCAACAATGGGTTAATATGCGACAAAATAGTTCCTGGTCACAAAACATAAGACCACCCATGGTATTACCATATATATCAAAACCTTATCAAACTTCTGATAATCCAGTGGCACATTGTTCAAAATGGAATATGAAAATGCAACAAAATCCAGGATTTGCCCATATGCCACCTCATAATAGTCAAATTAAAGTACAGGCGAGACAGAAGACAAACGAATCTAAATCTGAAATTAAAAATAGTACATCGTTTGTACCATTGCAAGCCCAAAAGAAAAGTAGAAACGTTAATACAAGACAAACTAACAAAGAAACAACGCAAAATCATGCAAACAGTTCTCAGTTGGGTAAACAATCAGCAAAGCAACAAGAGACAAAAGAAACAACATTCCCTAAGGTTTGTTAATTGATTCAATCTTATCATATTTGATGTATAAGAGTAGTATAAGATATATTCAAATATTTTCCAGCCTCCAAAAGTATCAAACGTTAACAAAACTGTTGAGAAAGAAGTACGTGTACAAAACAATTTACAATCATCGCCAAAATTACAAAAATCTGAAAGACCTAAACGGTCACGCGTTGCTGCCAAATTTGTTTCACCTCCAGCGACAAATGGAAGTGAACAATAAAGACTTTAATTCAAGGGGGTTTAGGGTTTCGTAATATATGTAGATATAGTTGTATTTATCCAATAGAACTCATTCTTTTTTTTTTCTGCAAGATATGTAATGCATTATCGATGACTCATCTTCAGCAATTCTTATAAAACATTTCTTTGTCTCATTTTAAAGTCTCAGTATACAAATTGAAGTTTCCGTCCGAATGTGCATGCTTGTACGGTGACTATTTGTAAACAGAGGTTTAATAATGTTCATATAGTAACACAATTTAGTTATTGTATTATATGTAACAATAAGGAAATATATGTGATTTTTTTTCATTCATAAATAACATATATTTTACGTTAAATCAACAATCATCATTGCTTTTATGAAATGTTTACAAAAATTGTAATTACGAAAACAATCATATTTTAGTTAGAATTTATATCAATGAAAATGTAATTATTATTATATATATGTAATTAAAACTTTTATTTTATGTATTATAAACAATGAAATTGAGAGTAGTCTTAATTCAGACTATCAATACTTTCGTTTTTGGCATGTATTGGATAAAAAAGAAGATCATGATCAATTTTACATTTAATACTTCGAGATTATTTGAATGTAAAAAATTTATAATATATGATCTCTACAAATTGCAGAATATATACTTGCTCTTTTGTTTATTTCTTGTATTATGATTATAATTAGAATGTATCAATTTCTCAGAATACAAAAACAAGAACACAAATATACTTCGAATAGATTTTCGTAAAGCTATTATATTCTGAAATATGATACATTCTTTTATATCCCTATTTCATATTTTCACCTCTCATTTAAATACATTCATATATATATATATATATATATATATATATATATAGATGTGTATATATATATACTATGCACAAATATTTATAATACTTAACATTGCAAAAACTTTGAAGGAACATATAGGGAGCTATACAAAAAAATGTACAATTAGGATAAAAACAAAAAAATACAAACTAACATTATTAAACAAAAATTAATGTTATACTAGAAACATATAAAGTCCTTTTGGCAGTCATCTTTAATTTAAGGTAAAATTGTGAATACTCATAAAGAAAAATATCACGTTATACTATGTAAATAAAATTAGCATTTACAAGTATATAAAATATTGATAAACATAAGTTAAATAAAATTAATATTTTATACAATCACTTGTATATCAACTTTACTTTCATTACTAAAAATGTTTACGTCTTGATATACACAATGTAGTCAAAAAAATAAAATATGATATTTTTTGATATATAAGAAGTGAATCCTTAGATTATATCATATTTATTACGAAGATATAATTTCTTAATGATTATATTATTTCTTAGAATATTTTTTTTATTTTCATATATCTAAATCCACTTATGAAAGCGCATCGTTATAGTCCTATAGTCTTTTGTCGACACTTAAGACTAAATTCTTTCAGCGCATCATAAAGACGACGTCTACTTGTCCGTTCTCGTAAAACATTACGTATAAAAACTTCTTTATCCATATCACTAGCTGCAGGTCCAGATTGACTTTCAAGTGAAACACGAAGCCATTCTAACATCCAAGCCGCACACATTTTATTTAATGACAGTAAAACTTCCGCATGAGGTTCTAAATTGTTTCGAGGCACTTCTCCTCCTAAAATTATACATATGATCTTCGTTTTATATTACTTTACGACTCCTTGGATTAATATTAAATATTAATTTTTACATACCAACACACCGTAGTATTACAAAAACAAGTTCTCGTCCGATTGGCCGAATAAAATCTTGTAAATGTGGAGTTTGCATAATAGCATGAGTAAGAAAACATGCTGCTGCTTTGACTGTTCCTGTTTCCGGAAGTAGTAAGCAAGTAATACCTAAAAAAGTAAAACGACGTATGCGTAATAAAAATAATAATTTTTTTACTTTTATTATATAAATCCATATATATATATATATATATATATATATATATATATATATATATATATGTCGATAAGGAGAAATATTTTACCGCATCGTAACATATCAGGAATTTGATCCGATACTTGAAGCAACATTTCACCATTCTTTTTACAAATTTGGGCAAGCAATCCTAAATATGCTTCCATTAGATCCGACCAATCAGATAAATCGCCATGTACTGATTGGCATGCTTTAATACCACCTAAAGTTATTGAACTTAATTCTGCAAAAACAGGCCATATAATACTATCTGGATCTTTGCCAAATAATAACACCAATTGATTCAATAAATTTAATGCAGCAGGATGGGGCCAATTCTTATAAGAAGTTGATAAAATTGAAAGTAAAGGACGTGCATCTGTTTCTGGATGTAATAGAGATGATAATGATTTTTGTGCACATGTGTGCATTGCTTCTAATGTAGTATTATCTTGACTCCATTCAGGATGCACAATAATTTCATTAAATATTGGTAAGAGTCCGTCTAAAACAGCTTTTCCTATAGGACATTCTAAAGTTGAGAAAAACATAGTTGCCATTTTTAATTGATTTGTAACTGCTACACGAGCTACGAATAATGGTTGCTTCAACAATTCTTGAATTTTCACTATACATAGGCCCAATGTTGCATCTAAATGTGTTAATTGTTCTTCCACTGTTGGAAGTGTATTCAATAATTTTCCAGCTGCATACATAAGGCGTTGACCTTCTCCCCCTTCGGACGTTACATTTGGAAGAGTTCGTCCTATTGTATTCAGTATAGATGGTGCAAAGGGTGCAAGATATGCCCCGCATTCTCTTGTTAAATCTTTAAGAGCCATACTTGCACGAGGTGCTGTAATTGGACCTTTCCAAAGGCCCAATGTTACAAGATGTAATACTCTTTCAAGCCAAGGATCGGGATGTTCTCCTATCCATTCAGCATATGCTCCTATTGCTGAGCACGCACATGCTAATACCTATGATGATAATAAAAATTAAGTTATATAAAAGAAAATATATTGACAATAATTAAAAAAAAAAAAAATATATATATATATACATATATATATGATATTTATTTACTATGAAAATTATGCTTACTTCTCCAGGATAAAGATCATAAGGTATATGAGATACAATTAAATCCATCAAGGCAGGAATGTAACGGAATTCTACCAAGCCAACTCTATCTGATAAAGCTTCAAAAGCATGTAATGTAGATTCTACATCAGTCCATTTTTCTGAATTATCAAGTGGCTCACTTAATCTCTGCCCAAGGAGTATTAATAAATCTTCTCCTAAAACTCTATAAGAGTAATCTAATGTATCTGCAGCGTCTTGTCGATAACATCGAAAGAGTTCTCGTTCATCCGCATCTCCACTTTCGTTTGGTGATGAAGGTAATGTAGATTTTCTTAGTAATGCATTTGCTAACCGTGCATATATTGGTTTTAAAGCATTCAATGCATGACTTTCAAGAGGTGAATCAATTGTACCTAAATCGTCTTGTAATGTAAACCAAAAGGCAAATGGAATAGAACTACGAGTTTCATCTGTAGGATATCGCCCTTCTTGTTCTGAACACTCTAAGAGTAACTCAATTAATCCTTCGGATGTCCACTTTTGAGTTGCATCACCTTCACCTGCGAGAGCAAGTAAAAATGTCCTACTATAAGCTTCTCCCATAGCTGTTAAAATTTCACAAAAATATTTTCCACTATGTTCCCGTGCCATTGTGACTAAACTTCTTGCCCATTCCCAAAGTGTCTGTGGTCTTTTGTGTAATTCAGGATGTGTTAATATCATAATTAAACAATCTTGTACTATTTCCCAACTACTAGTATTGTCTTCGTGTGAATTTTCCCTTAAATAAAAATAATCTGTTAAATATAATGTGTTTAATATATAACAAAGATGTAATCTATGAAGTTTATATATATATATATTTATGTACCTGCTTGGTGCATAATGGGATGCAGCAACTAATAAATAAGGATAAATTTGACCACTTATCTCCAAAGGTAATTGGCCAAATTTAAGCCAAGAAAAGGCACATTCTAATCCCAAAAGGTATAATGTATCATTTTCCTGGTTATTTGGATTACATGATGCAAAAACTTGTTGTAAAAGCCAGATTGTTTTGCTCCAACTACTAACTAATCCATCCTTTGGTTTTCTTTTTACAGTTTGTCTCATTTCAAACTAATGAAATTATAATAAGAATATATTAATGTAAATATGAAAATATTTTTTTTAATTTATTTATAATTACCTCTCCAGGAATAGAAAATAATACTCTTAATAATAACTCCAATTTTGGTGGTGAATCATATGGTAATATTTCTATTAACTCTTCTACTAAACTTTTCTCCTTATCTTTACTTTCAAAATCATTGTTACTATGTGCCAGAAATGCAGCTAACTAAAATATATATTTTTATATTATACATCAAATGTATATAAATAATAATCATAGCTTTGTAGAATTTTATAGGTACTTTTTATATATCTTTAACTTTCTAAAAATATCTTACATTATTAATTCCTATATATATATATATGTATATATAAAAAAAAAAATAAGAGATCTTATGAATATATTACCGCTTGGCAAAGTTTTGAAAGTACAAACTTTGGAGTATTTGATTGCGTAATACTGCTAAGTAAACGTTCACGTAAAACAGGATATTCATTCTTAGGTACTTCATCCCATTGTTTTGATATTTTTGCATGTAATGTCGTTGCAGCAAAAAACTGTACTTCTCGAGACTGTAATATTATTAATCATATATAATTTATCAATAACAATATTTTAGAGAGAGCGATACTGTTACATAGAATCTATCATTTGTACTAACCTTTGAAGGATCAAGAAGCTGCCATACAAAAGTCCATGCTTCGGGGGAGGCTTGAACCTGTAGCAACCAAGTGTGAGCTTCATTATTTCCTGCAGCATAAAACTGCTTAATTGCTTGATCCACTACAGTTGCATAATCCATTCCACGTTCTTAAATCTTCTTATAAGGATTTGTTAATAATTGACAATATTTCGTATATTTACGAATATAAATATTGAAGCAAAAAATATGTTTTTTCTTTCGTTCAAAGTCAATGTTAACATTGATATCGTTATTTAAATTTTTAACATTTTATGCATTAATCATTTTATTATAATTTATAAATTCGAAAAATGCACATAACCTATGTACACAACATTGAACACAGCTGATCCGTTTCCTTTGCTTGATGTAGTAATGTGTGAATTATATATATGTATGCACGTGGATATATACCAACGTGTATGTGTGTATTTACAACGAACTACAAACTACGTAAAGATCCGTAAAATTTGTGTATTGGGCTTTACTCTATGTTATTCGGTTGTAAAACTATAAAACTGTTGAATAATTCTTTAAAGTTTCATTGTATTACTTTTATTTGTTAATTTAATAAATTTAAAAGCTCGATAAAAATATCGTTATTTCAAATATAGTTATATTTGAGGTTAGGATGATTGTTATACGCGAACGAAAGTATAAATTGATATGATCATTACTTGTGTCTTTACTTTCTTATGATATACATGAAACGCATTCATAAAAAAATGGACAACTCTGACGAATCACCTAATAAATGTACATTGGTTTTGTAATAATTTTTATGGTTATATGAGTATTAAGAAATTATTGTAACGTTGTTATATATTTTTACAGTAGCTCTTGTTGAACGAAATTATATGCCACAAGGTATACATTTGGTTGATCCAAATGCTGTAGCAAAATCATCGAAACAAGATTTAGTTGCATTAGCAAAGGAAATACAAAAAGTATATATTTGTTAAGAATGTATATATATATATATATTTCTTCCAAGTAGATATAACAAATATAACTGTGTTTATTTTATAGGCTGATGAGTACATCAAAGCCAATGCGTGCAATAAGTTGCAAGTGATTGTAGAACAAATGAAATTTCTTCAAAGACAAGCTGAAAGTATTTTATTAGAAGTTAATCAAAATATTAAATTGCATCATGCTGCTTGTAATTTTGTAAAACATCCTGGTCAAGTATATCATTTATATGAACGCAACTCAGGTCAATGTTATTTTTCTATGCTTAATCCAGAAGTAAGTATTAAAAATAATCTATTTTAATAATGTGCCATTGTTATTTTAATATTTTGTATCTTATAGGAATGGGGTAGTTCAGGTCCTTCTCAAACTTATAAAGGATCATATAGGTTAGAACAGGATCATTCGTGGACACCCATCTCCGATATTAATACAAAAGACAATGAATTAAATCTTTTTAGTAAACTCCTTTCGAATAATGGAATGTTAAATAGTAGTTTGGATACACTTGCTCTTAATATAAATTCAAAATAGAAAATATTGTTTGTAATCATGAGAACAACAAATTTATGACAAAAAAAAAATATATAAATATATGTATGTATAAAGAATTAAAAGGCATAGTCATCTAATTCAACAAAGCAGGATTTATTTGGAACTTATATTAAATATAAGTAGTATTCAATTTTCTTCTTCTTCGAATATCCCTTTTTTTCTCTCTTTGCTTAATATATTTTCATAAATTTCAGATATTATCTACATAATTACATATGTATACTATCTTCAATTGAAATATTCTATACATTAATCAATTATAATCCTTAACTATTTTGTTTTTATTAATTCAGGCATTATCTTAATGTCGGGTGTTTTCTATAATATAATATTTGAATATATTTGGTAAATTTCCATATCTTTCTAAAGGCAGTCATTACGTTATTTGCTTCAATAAAGAGCAATGTAATAATACATAAAAATTTTATTTAATACGATGTCGAAATAATAATGTAATTCCAATTGGTAGCTTTAATTCCAGATAAACTATTTTTTGTGCAGTAGTTTCTCATATTTTACTTTTTTGCAGTATATGCAATAAATTTCTTAATAAATACAATTGATAGCTATATTATACAAGAACATCATTATTAAAGACAAATAAAAATATATAAAGCATTTACCAAAAAAAATTAATGTAATTATAAGATTTTTGAAAATGATGTTATTTTAAAAAATGAACAAAACCTGATTAAAGTCGCCAACGTAGAATATGATGGGATCTTTTTATGTGTTTAACTTGTTCTGTACGTCATGTTGTGTTTACTTTGTGTGCTGAAAATACATAGATCTTATTTAAATATATTATACTACATTAATATGCAAAGTAATTATCAATATTTTTTTAATATTATATCATAAAGATAAATTATATAGTTCTTACAAGGTACTGGTATCCTGAGAGGTTCTGTATCTTTTATAATACATTCATGTGTTTGATTATGGAAGAGATACTGTATTAAAAGTTGTTTTTCTTCTCCTACACATGGATCATAAAATCCAGGTAACTGACTCTGTAATATCACAAACAATTTATTAGGAATAGTAAACAATAATTACGAGTAATTCTAGTAGTACGTAATAAATTATAATCAAATAATACCTTTGATGCATCATGAAGAATCAATCTAGAATCTCTTACTAAACATTGCAAAGGAATTGTTACATCTATAACTTCATCCCTACTTCGTCCACCTTCTTCAACAGTGGATCTATCTTGCAAAGGATAAACAAATCGTCCATAAGAAGCTTTTGTTATAACCAATCCTTTTTTAGATTCTTCTTCTGCTCTTATTCTACTAAACGTAGCTCTCATTAATTCAATAGCAGCTTTGGCTTCTTTCTGTTTTTCTAACATTCTTGTCTTATTCACTTCTTTCTGTTTCTCTTTATCTCGTTCTTTTCTCTCTTTTACTATTGGATCAACAACAAATTTCTTGACAACAGTCCATGTTATAAATGGCACTACAGTTGCATAAAACACAGGAGCTGGAAGAATTTCTTCACTTATATGAATTGGAAATGCATATGTTTGTGAAGCTCGGTTTAATTTAACTTTTAATGTTACTCCCGTTGTTACGGAAATTCGTACGGTGGCTGCAACTGAACTATGACGAGAAACCTTCTTTTCTACGCCATATTCTAAGAATGCACCGAATGTACCTATTCTATATGAAAAAATAATATAAACATATGCTTAAATTCTCTAAACCAAATAAAAGATATAAATAATTCTTTCTACTAACCGTATGTTTCCACGTATTTTGAGTTCTTTTTCTTTCATTTTATATATATAATGAAGATTAATATAAGAATGTACAATACCTAAATGTATTAAAATTGATGCATAAGAACGAGATGTATCTCTTACAAGCATTGTACTCATTGCACTTTGTATTCCTGCTCTATATGTCAGATATCCGACTGTATGTTTATCCAATTGCATAGCTAAGGCTGTAAACAAGAAAATCTGATAAAATATTTTCACATAGTTTAAAAGTTTATATAATTTTATAAATTAGATATTCAAACAATTTTTATAAAAATTAAAAAACATACTTCCTACAAGGCCTGGTCTCACACCGTGAGCTGTAAATTGTAATATTGTTTCACAATCACAAAATAATCTTTTTGTTAAAGTTCGAAATCCTTTTAGTGATATAGTTGGACCATTGCCTGCACCTACATCTAATTCCAGCCATCCCTTAGAAGACACTAATTTTTTTGCTGAGACATTAATGGTTCCATGACCAGTTCCATTTTGTGTTGCCAATGAACCATATAAAGTTATAGTATCTTTTAAAGTAAGAGGTGCTTCAATAGATTGTGTAAATGACATTCCACTGACTTCAATAGATGAAAATATATCCATACTACAATATTATTTAAGATATTCAAATATCATATATAACACTACTGTATTAATATTAATAAGAATATATTAATAATTAGAAAATATGTATTACCTATTATTGTAATCATCATCATATTTACTAAATAAGTCTGTAGCATTAATATACACAGTTACGTTTCCTTTTGGATTTGTATGCTCTTGAAGTCTTCTCTCTTCTCTTTCCCTTTCTAAACGCTCGTATTCTTCTCTTATTTCTGAAGGAGTTTTAGTACGTTGAACAATTTCCCATCCTTCTGTTTCTAATCCTTTAACTCCCACAGTATCAAAGATTGCTCTCTTATGAGGATCACTGAGAACTAAAGTACAAAATAAAAAATTAACTAAACTAAGTATTTTATTGAGTGATACATTATGTTTATATTACAAAAAAATATATAACTAATGTATAAAAACTCAAATACATACTCTCATATGCTTTTTTTGTACGGTTGAATAAAACTTCTGCTTCTTTCTTAAGCACTGGATCCACATGTTTATCAGGATGATATAATCTACTTTGTCTACGATAAGCATTGTTAATTTCTTCTGGAGTAGCCTAATAATAAAATTTGCAATATTTAACAAAATGATTTTGTTAAGCTTATCATATATTCCATTAGTCCAATATAAAATATCAATTTCTCATTATTTTTATATTATTTTTAGAACATTAATAATCTTAATTCCATTAAAATGATTATTACATTGTAAGAACTTTCTTTTCGTTAATGAATATGGATAACAGAAATAAATATAAAGAAATATTTCATTTATATTTATGTATTATAAATATTATTTATTTTTTTTTGTCATCAGTATTTCCGGCATTTTCGAACTTAACACATTGTCGAGGTCCATAATGAAATATTTTTTATTAATATCTTTAGTTGTTGATAAATTCGATAACAAAAAATAATAAAAGAAAACTTATGTTTAGTTACGTCAGCATTGCAAAAATGCGTCATGTAAAGGGTTCAGAAATAATCTCTCGCCGGGAAATCCTAAATAAGAGGAATTGTTACTTATTCTCACATTTCTTGGGACGTTGAGAAACGTGTAATAGTCATCCTCGACTATTATTTCTTGTTCATTATCTTCTTCCATTATAAATACCGCGAATTTTACTTCTTTTCAAATTAATTTGTTGTAAAAACAATGAAGGCTATTAAAAAGTTAATGATATTATATCTAATTCGACCTTTTACTTTAACAGGTTACGAAGATTTCGTCAGCGAACCGGTCCAAAAGAAAGATAATATTATCTTCCGATAGATGGAACCATAATAGAACAGCAGACGCGGGAAAACACGTAAAAATAATTTTGATCTGTGCTATCAAAATGATATACGCGTTCCGTTACAATGAACATTATACTAATTGTAAGATTAAACATTATATTATATATTAAATTTATTTCTATAATAAAGTTAAGTTGTATATTGTAATAAAAAATAATATACAAATAAATTTGTATTATAAAAAGAAAAATAGTCTTTTTTGCATAATCGTATTTTCTTAATATCGATTAAACAAAAATTTTGCAAAACAATGAAGTGAATTTTGGTATGACAAATTATACCTTCTCTTCACTTGACATGTTCTCCTGATATCAAATCCACTTTTCAGAGAGAAAAAAGAACCATTTGTCCCAAGTACGAAAATTTTGTAACAGGAGAATATAAGATTCGAGGAAGTGGCACGAAAAATTATGCCACCTCTTATCAGCATGATACTCTCCTAATATCAAATCAAATTTTCGGGGAACCCATTTATCCCAAAGTACGGAAACTAAATTTTGTAACAGGAGAATATAAGATTCGAGGAAGTGGCATGAAAAATTATGCCACCTCTTATCTGCATCATACTCTCCTAATATCAAATCAAATTTTCGGGGAACCCATTTATCCCAAAGTACGGAAACTAAATTTTGTAACAGGAGAATATAAGATTCGAGGAAGTGGCACGAAAAATTATGCCACCTCTTATCAGCATGATACTCTCCTGATATCAAATCCAATTTTTGGAAAAACAAAGGCAAGGTTTGACTGAAAATTCATGTACTTTTTATTTATAATGAACTTTTCTTTTTTTTCTTTTAGAAATTCAATTGTTTATATTTTTATGCACTTTTTATACAGATACACGTGTATATATATGTATATGTAATGATAATTTATAAATATATAGTTGCAATGGTATGATTATTGATATTTATGAAACATTGAACGAAATTAAAAAAAAATGTATGTCAGAAGTGGGATTCGAACCCACGCCCACAGAGTGGACTGCGACCTGAACGCAGCGCCTTAGACCGCTCGGCCATTCTGACATTGATAATATCGAACAAAATATATTTTATATATTAATATATTACTCTATTTACAATAATATATGTTAATTATAATATATTTACATTGCAACTTTATATATATATTAATTAATTGACGCATTAACTTAAAATATTCCGATATATTCTAATATACTGCTATTTTAAAGTAATTCTATAATATTATTATTTGATGTATATAAATAAATAATTTTTTATTTTATATATCGTTAATACATTTTTACTGTTGATTATAATTAAATAAACGTTTTATAGATTTTTATGTTCTTTTATTTTCAGATATAAATGTTACAAATGTAAATACTTATATTTAATGACAACTGAGGTGAATTAATAAGAATTTAAATATAATGATCGATCTTTCACTTCCGAGTTATGGCCTGTTGCAAATTATATACGCATACGTTTGGTCACGTAGAAAGCTTCGTTGCATAAGTTGTAACCGGATCTTTCGAGACGTAGGTAGCTTCCAAGAGAGAAGCCAAGTGAAAAGGAAAAAAATGTTACCACGAAACGAAATGGAAATTGGAAGATGGAATAAGAATTTGAAGAAACTTCGTGCTTCGTTCTAATAACTTCACCATGATTATATTACACGGTAAGAATGAGCATAATTGAAAATTTTTGATATCAATTGCATTCCCACTGTATATTGTGTAAAGAACACATCTAAAAACGTTTAATACGGGTACATACACGTAAAACGTCTTGTTGAATTTAAACATAATGCTTTTCTTTTTCATTTTATGAACAAATATTTCTTCCGATTCGTTTCATTTTATCGGAAAAATCATATTTCACAATTCTCCTCTTTCTCTATTTCTTTCTCTTAGTTTCTGATCAATAGTTCTATAGTTAGTAAAATATATCACTCTTAGCGTTTTATATATAATGTTTGGAAACAAAGAAAATATTGAAATACTTTTTAGAGTTAATTTTATTCTATGGAAGTTCCATAGGAATATTTATCCTTCGAAAAAAATAATTTCATGATTTTTCACGTCCTATTTTAATGTGTCACGAAGACTTCGATGTCAAAAGTTCGATAAGAATATCAAAAAGCAATATCTCTCTTCTCTTCTTATTATGATCTATTCTGAAAGGAAAACTGATATTTATTTTCCAAACTACGTTTTATATTTTTTGTATTTATATCATATCTATGTATGTATATCTTGTATTTTATATCAAGAATAAAGGAAGCCATGAGCGTTTCACGTGTCTACGATAAAGGGAAAATATTGTCTCAATGATTTGTCACTCTTGAGAGAAAACCCTGTCACTTATTGTTTGGATCCATGTCCAGATCAATCGTACTGTTGGCTTTAGGAGTCTACTTCCATTATATTAGAATACCTATTGTATTATTTACTGTATTGTCTGATAAACTATAATATAATCGTAATACCTATTGTATTCTCTGATAAATTATAGCATAGAAATACAGTAAAGAACTCGCGACAGATTTTCTCCCAAAATCTCTCTCTCTCTCTTTCTTTTTCTCTCTTTCTCTCTCTTTTTCTCTTTCTATCTATCTTGTAGGACGAAAATTGTCAGTAAGTTCGTCCTTGCGGAAATTTCAATTAAACTATCCACTGCAAGGTCGGTGCTCGTCAAAGACACTCGTGTTCGCACAAGTTACTAAAATTCATTCGCAAACTCGCGTCCGTTTAATTGCATTGAGAAAACGTTTAGGACAGACAATCTCCGTGATCCACGACATTTCCTTGGCTGCCAAAGGAGGAAATATACCGACGTTAAAGTGCATTGCCGAAAGAGAAAGGGGAACTTAGTCTATGGCTGCTATGAGCCGATTCGCATCATTCAGTGCGTGATCCTTAACGTATATGTTCAAACGTTCCTTTCTTTGCGGAACGAGGTTCATCAAAGAATTTCATTTGACGGAAGTGTTAGCTAAGTGTTTAATTTATTTGATTTAAAAGAGATCCGAAAGAACAAATATACGTTTCTCGTCAATATCGAGAAAAAGAAGAGGAATCTAGTCTATTATTAAGAAGAAAGAGAAGAAGAAGACAAAGAAGAAGGAGAAGAAGAAGAAGAAAAATAAGACGAAGAAGAAGAAAAAGAAGGTTCATTCATGAATCCTCGATAAATCGAACGCTACGACTTTCGTTCGTTCGTTAATTCGTTCTTTCGATAGAAGTTGTAAAACGACAAAAGAAGTGAGAGAATTCGCGCTCTTTATCATCGAATTGTTTATCGAAGGAGTTATTCTTAAAAGTAAGAAAAAAGAAACAAATAACAAAATAGGAAAGGAGAAGAAACTTTGTGTGAACGTGTTGTAAATTTTTAAAGTCTTAAGATAGGACCATTCAAGAATGTTGAGTAGATCGAGTAGAAACGAAAGAATCTATCGCGATAATCTTACAGCGTCGTTTAATATTTTGATATATTAACATCGAAATTTTTGTCATCAAAATGACGCCATCTTAAACGATTTCATTGGTTTTTCCCAAGGAAGAAAATAAAAAGATATAACTGAATTAAGTTCGTCGACTATTAAGAGAAATAAATATGGCACGATATTTGAGTTGTTCATTGGTGATACTCGGAGTCGTCGATTTGGCTATTTCTAGAAACGAATCAAACATTCTGCGACTGAGCAAATCTCCAAAATTGACGGCTACTGTTGTCAAGGTGATGAAAAATGATATTAATAATTCTAGCGATTATATTGAAGAAAGAAATTTAACGAGAACGAACGAGCCATTGATTAGCTTCAGCAAAAATAATCCTG